AGTTAACACGGTTAGGCCTTACCTTAGACGGACGAGAACTGTTTCTACGGGAAGAACCACAGACAACAGGTGCCGACAGTGTGTTTATGGTACAAAATGTACAGACATATATATATACGTATATATACAATTCACGTGACATGGCGTTTTTTAATTCTTAGAGGAGGGGTAGAATTTTTGGGATGAAGACTGATGGGATTTTTGGTCTTGTCGATTGGGAATTTGAGATTGCAATGTTAGCATCCAGCCATTGTTGCTGCAGCTTGGAGCTAATGGAACTGATGGTAGAATTAAGGTTTAATTATTGATGAACTTTGAATATTTTTAGAAAGTTTGATATCTATGTTTCATTGGAGATAAACGTCGAGAATTCAGTTCTTTTATTTAGCGATTCAATGAATTGAAATGAAAGTTTCAGTGTTAATAGCAGATTGAAGGGGTTTAAGGGGTTTAAGGCCTTTGCACTCGAAAGTTTTTCGCTAGAAATATTCAATATTCTGCGATGAGATACAGACGATGTTCTTTGGAATTAATTAATGAGGAAACATATATGAATTAAGAAGGAAAGTTATTTTATTTCAATATTCCACATATTGATGCATCATACAAAGCTTAACCCTTTGCACTGTGAAGTTGAATATTTACTATTTTAAATGAAACTTTGTATTCCAATGTGAAATATTTCAATAAAATAGCTTTGTTGCTTAATTTATCTGTGAATTATCATCAAATCAGTTTCAAACAATGCCATCTTTATCTCATCAGATGTTCAAATATTTCTACTGAAAAACTTCGGAGTGCAAAGAGATAATATACATAAGACTTTATAATTTTGCAAATCAAATCAAGTCGACTGAATGTCACTCGAGTGCAAAGGGTTAATATTCTAATATATTGATTTACTCAAATTCATTATGGAATTAAATAAAATTCAACGAATCGACGAAAATTAGAACGTTTCTGAGATTGTCAGGTTCTATTTAGAAGAGAACTGGACGCACAGCACTAACTGTTCCATAAACGGCAAAGCAATGTTCGTCGAACGATCGTACGACCGTCGCGGATGCTAACATCGCGTCGTTTCGCCGGCAACGAGCAATTAACGGGGTCGAAGCGATACGAACCCGGCCGTAAAAATTGACAAACGACAGCCTGTCTAGCCGCGACGTTTACAGCCGGTTCCATTGGCAACTTACCTGTTGAACGGTAATTAATTTCACGACGTTGGGGAGTGACGTCGATGCGACGGGGAGGAAACCGGAGCGATAATTACTGCCTACACGGAAAATAATTACCGCTCGCCGGCTACCGGAATGTAGCACTCGTTCGCGTTATCGATCAATCATCCCGTTCGCTGTAATCGACGCGGATCGACAGGCTGCGACCACTGATTCCCGATTAACATTGCGTGCCGAGGCAGAATTTTGTGTAACCTTCCGCCGAAATTAAGACGAAATAGAAAAAGAGATAAGCTACTTTTCAATGAGAATTGATTTATTGTCAAATTTTGGCGCTCTTGTGTTTGATAGCTTTTACTGTCATAGATGCTTGAATGATAATTAATATATCTTCACTATCCATTGATATATAATTAATATATCTTCACTAATATATCTGTAGTAATATATTAATCTCATACTCTATACTATCTGAAATCTTTAGATAGCATATTAATTAATATATCTTCATAGATGCTTGAATGATAGTGAAGATATATTAATTAATATGTTATCTAAAGATTTTAGATAGTATAGATTACGAGATTAATATACTAGTAGAGATATATTAATTAATATACTACCTCTATCATTCAAGCATCATTAACAGTAAAAGCTGTCAAATACAAGAAAGACAAAATTCTATAACATATTAATAAATTTTGAATATTTCCAGAAACTTACATACCCATGTCGTTTGAACACGAGAAGAATATACTAGAAAATGATTGATATAACAAATTAAGAATACATTAATTCATAATTACTCGAACATGTATGACAGAGAAGTATACGAATAATTGCATGATTAGCTATCTTTAACAGAAGATATACGAATAACACGGCACGCAATGTGTTAATCCTCATTACTTAACCCAAGTACCATCGAAACGCGTCCGATGATTAATACGGGGGAAGAACAGGGGCTGGGAATTGAGGGCGGGGCAGGAGGCTTCGAATTCCAACGTGACAAGTGTTTCTTTCGATCGCGATCGATTCAGGGCGTCCGTGATTAATTGTCGAGCTGTTGCTCCCAGTTTCAGAGTTGGTTTTCATAGTCCGCGGAATCAGCGATTCACTCTATTTGATTGATGATTTGAAGACCGACTCATTATTCAAGGGAGAATGAAATAATTCAGTGACCTGAGTATATACTCCAGTAAATTGATTTTTCATTAATTACCATTGATTTCTCTATCTGGAATCAAATGTTCGAGCTTCCAAAGGTTTCGTAGAGGTATCATCTTCTTCGATAATAAGATTCATGAAGAATACTACGCTTATCTCGGGAATTTTGTCGTTTTCACACGTAAAATATAGATCCCGTCGATCAAGTTCGCCGGAGTCGCAGCTTTGCCATGAAATAATAGGGATTTCCCGGCGGGTAATTTTGAATTGTAGATCGAAGGAGTCAAAGGTGGGAGCTACGAAGCTACGGGGATTATCCATAGATCACTGAATTTTAAAAAGTATTAATATTCATGAAAAAACACCGGGCCGAATGGCTCTCGGCGGCTACTCGACTGCGGACCGCCGAGAATCGATGATCGAGTAATCGCTCGGATTCTTCGCGCGGCCATTAATTATTCACCGGGCTGGCCGGAATTCGATTTTTCGGTGATTCGCGAGGTTACCCGTTGAATTCGGTAGCCCCTCCTCCACGATCTCTTCGACGTCTTGATCCTCCGTACATTGAAACGCGAGCGTTTCCTACGAAACATACGCGGATCGCTGGATCCGCGCGTTATTATGTACAGTACACGTTTCACCTAGCCGGCTATTTATATATTTATAATATTTATACGTGTTTCTCTGTGTGTATATATGCACGTGTGCGTGTGTCTGTGTATACGTATGGATGTATTAATAGTGTTATATACATATAACGAACCAATTTCCAATAACGATCAAACGGAGCAAAACTCGGGAACAATAACCAACATCAATGCCCAAAAATAGAAGTCGAGTGGCCTGAATATCGAATAGGTGCGAGCGACACGACACTTTTCCCGCGGAGCCGCGTCCCGAGCCTCGGTTCGCAAACTTATAAATCTCAATCCCCTGATTTATCGTCCGGCCGATTTACACGGGGTTCCAGCTGCATGCAAATCAATCAACGAAATTTTCTATCGGGGATTCCGCGGGTTCCAACAATGCCCCATCAAATCGGACGGCACGGTCCGGCGGAGACCGGCATTTTGTAATTTCGCCGTCCTCGCGTCGTCGATGGTTTGGAGACTTATTCGCCGTCGTCGAAACAAATGCGTCGATCGTTAACGGATGGAACGGACGACTTTGTAACCCAAATTGTTCTTTTCTTCTGGTCGTTGGGAATTGAGAGAAATTTTTCTGGTGTGGACGGTAGAGGTAGTCAATCGGACGAGTAGAAAAATGAGATGAAGATTATATTAACCCTTTTAGGACGAATGTCGCCATTTTGCTGATATCAAACTTCCATGTTTGGAATACCCAGTTGCGAACGAGTGATTGAACTATTCGAACAGCAAGAAATCAGTACACGGTTTCCTTATTCTCTATGATTTAAGCATTCAGTGTTTCATTTAGCAGAATTTGCGAAAGATTTTGTGTACTTTTAACAATCTCCGTCCGCAAAGGGTTAAGTGGTAGATTGATTAATAGAAATAATAGAAAAAGAAAAGATAGTAAGATACGGTAGATAAATGAACGGTGGAAACAGACAAATAAGAAGCAAAAAATACAAGATCGGAAAATGTAATCGGTGATCACCTTTCCAGAATCGTGACAGACATATTTGGGTTACCGCTGACCTTTGGCAGCCGTTCCATAAACACCGAAAACCTCGTAAACATCCGCGGTCCGGCTCCCACAGTTCCACGTCGGCTCTGAATCATGTTCGATTATCGCCCGCACCATTCGAAAATTCAACCTAGTGTTATAAAAATGAGTCCTGAGCTTTAAAGTCTTGTGCTTAGAATTCCGTAGCTGTGGCTCGAGTCTTAAGAGCTCTCGGAGCTCCAATCTTGAAAAAGCTGAAGTCTTCAATCGAGTCTTTATGCTCGAAGACTGATGTAGCGATAGAAGACTCAAATTTTCGAGCATAAAAGCTTGAGATAGGTTAAGGCTAAAGCTCAGAACGAGCTTTTTAAACTTCAAAAACTCAGTCTTTAAGGTTAAACTTTAAAGCTTTAAAGACTGAAGCTTTATAGAGCTTCAAGCTTTCAAAGACTTGGCTTTAAAGGTTCAATATTGAAGCTTCGAAGACTGAGTCTTTAAGTTCGAGTCTTGAAGCTTCGAGAACTCAAGCTTCATAAAGTTCTAAGCCTTCAAAGACTCAGCCTTCAAGATTGAACTTCGAAACTTCAATGACTCAAGCTTTACAGAACTTCAAGCTTTCAAAGACTCAGCTTTAAAGATTCAACATTGAAGCTTCGAAGATTGAGTCTTTAATTTCGAGTCTTGAAGCTTCAAAAACTCAAGCTTCATAAAGTTCTAAGCCTTTAAAGACACAACTTTCAAGTTTGAATTTCGAAGGGTCAAAAACTCAAGCTTTACAGAACTTGAAGCTTTCAAAGACTCAGCTTTAAAGGTTCAACATTGAAGCTTCGAAGACTGGGCCTTCAAATTCAGGTCTTGAAGCTTCGAAAACTCAAGCTTCATAAAGTTCTAAACCTTCAAAGACTCAGCTTCCAAGTTTAAACTTCGAAGCTCCAAAGACTCAAGCTTCACAGAACTCTAAGCTTTCAAAGACTCAGTCTCTAAGACGTAGTCTCGAAGCTCAAGGACTCTAACTTTTTACAACACTGATTCAGCCGCTCTAATCCGAAGGGGGACACAAAACCGAACTTCAGGGTTCGTGGAACCCGGCTTCGTGGCAGAAGGGTTTTGGTACACGACGGGTACAGGTGTGTTCGAAGAAGTTGGTGCTCGTTACTGGGCCTGCACGGCAAAGTGAACTGACGGAGCGTATCAGACGGACACTTAAGATTCAATTTTCTCTTGCCTGGCTGATCTGAAGCGGATGCTCCAGTACGGGGTCCGGATGTTCCTTCGGCTATGCAATATTCATGAAAGCAACTCGTGTTATATTATAAATCGCGCAATTATAAAGGGGTTTGGCAATCGGATGAACGCGAACGTCACGTGCAATGTCCGTCAACCAGAAACGAAACCGATAATGAGCCATTGGGGAGGTTCACAGGGTTCACTCGCGAGGCAATCGAATTAACATCGCTGCTTAATTAATCGAATCAACCGAACGATTTCGTTAACAGTATACGAGTCTCTGGACGCAATCTTTGAACTTGTGAGTTTCGGGATCATTTGTGGACACCTACTGCATCGTAAAATACGCATTGGCTGGATTAATGAATTGTAACGCGAATTCAATAATATCGTTTTCATGGTAAAGGGCTGATCATTGATATTTTGTTTAACCCCTCAACGATGTATAATCTAAGTCACTAATTTATGAGTTCAATAATAGTTAAAAGGTATTCAAAGATTTCCAAAAATATCAGATAAATCATGCTTCTATTAATTCGATTTTTAGATGACCTTAGTTCCATGAATGTCAACTTCAAATGTTTAATAGAAACTTCGCTAAATTTTTCAACTGAATGAAGTTATTAACGCTCATCGATGTGGTTTGTCGTTGGTGGATTAAACAACGCGATAAAATTGATCAACGAACACGTAGATCCCTATGTCTGATCGTTCCAAGGACATACCACTTAAATCCTACAGATCACCAGAAGAAATAACCATAACCTGAATACGAAAGCCATCCTAACCGTCTGCACACTATTTTCAAGAACCCCGATACCACTCGAGTGCGTCAGAATTATTAAAACCAGCGCAGCGTCGGCCACGCGGATCACATGATTTGTTGATCCCTGGCACGAAGAACAAAGCGGCGCGGAAGCTAGTCACTGGCAAGTTGTTGTGCCAATTAACTCAGGCCGACCGTATGATCAAAGAGCGGACTGGCATTTATAACGGCCGACTTTCCGAGAACACTTTCTACAGGGAAATCTCAAAACAGCATATGTTCGCACACAGGCGCAGTGTTTGTCATTGATGAATGTCTAGACGAGGACGAAACAAATTTAACTGGAAAATCACATATTTATTTGTTACCAATGTATTCGACCGAGTTCATTCGTTTTGAATCAAGAAATTAGTCATTGATGAATGTCTGCACGAGGAAGAAATAAATTCAAAGTGAAAATCACACATGCTTCTAAGTGTATTTCAGCAAGTTCCTTCATTTCGAATCGAAAAGTCTCATTAATGAGTCTCTGCACGAAAAGAAACAAATTCGAAGCTAAAATTAGATATATCCACACAATTCCAAGTTTAACCCTTTGCACTCGAGAGGTGAACCTGGACCACCATTAGATTTGATGTAGCAGAATTATAAAGTCTTCTATATAATATTGAGCTTGGATAATACATCAGTATATGAAATATTCGAATAAAATGACATTGTTTCTTGATTTATTAATGTTTCCTCATTAAGATAACTCCAATAAAGGTCGTCTATATCTCATCAGAATCTTGTCTACCTCCAATTAGAAAGCATAGAACATTTCAAGTGAAATCTTCCGAGTGCAAAGAATTAAGCGACTTTGTTAACCCATTCTGTACTGCATCGATATATGAAATATTGAAAGAATGTAACTTTCTTCCCTAATTTATGTGATTTCTTGATAAATATTTTAAAGAATCTTGTCTACATCTAATTAGAAAGCACACAATACTTAAAGCGAAAAACTTTCGAGTGCAAAGGGTTAATTTCCACCCAGGAAATCTATCCTTGACGAACATCTGCTCGAAGAAGCAAATTCAACTCTGAAATCACGTGTATCCACAAAGCTTCGAGTGTATTCAACAAAATGCATTCAATTCGAATCGAAAGCGACAACAGCTGCAGCTTCGACAACGAAAATTTCGAATCCACGGTCGCTGCAGCGACGCGTTCGCCGCGGAAAATGAAAGTTTCCCGAGCCGCGCGTCCGGAACAGCCGGTCGATCGCGACGGAAACGTCGGCCGGGACGTTTATTCGACTTTAAGCGCTTCCGATTGTTCGCATTAGCTGACGCCGAGATTTACCGGGGCCTCGCGCCTCCGTTTCCACGGCGAAATTGTACGCGTCAGCTTCCGATAATTTAATTGCTGCCACCCCGCCCGCCCCTGTTCCCCTGTATAATAAGTGAGCCCCGGATTACTCGGCCGCTGACAGCGGATCTCGAGAGTTATCGATTCACCTCGGAGTGTTTCGAAATCTCGTGCCGGCGTTAAGTAGGAGACGACGATCCTTGAAGCCTTTCGTTACTTAACGATCGAGCGAACGTTTGTATCGATGTTGATGCTTCGAGAGCCACGGAGATGATGCTTGGCGAACGAATGAGCGGAAGACAGTGTTGTGAAACGTGGTAAGCGACACGGTTCGGATGAAGAATCGGATAAACGATGGTGTCTGAGAATGCGAGAGTTAATTCGGGAGAAGCTGACGTGGTATCTGTAAAATTGAGATTTCTTAGACATGTAGAGAGACATTCGGTAGATGAATATTTAGATGTGTGGAACGTAGAATATTGAGAGAATCTAGAAGAAAGTAGATATTTCGAAGAAATTGAGGCAGAGATCGAGTGACTCTCGAAACTGAGACAGCCCTTAAATCATTTTCTATAGCGTTTATAGAGAAGGAATACGTGTTGCACGATAAGAAATGATTAACAGAGGAAATACTATAAAAATACGTAGAGTAGAGCAACCGCTAGCGTGCCAGAAGATCGATATCTTTCGCGAAGACCGCTATTTTCGCCTACAGCGCAATCATGAGGTGAATAAATGTTCGAAATGATTAACACGTTTTTTACAGTACGTTAACGCGTTGACTGCCACGGGAATCTTGATCGTTGTGTATATCACACTTTCGTAACAAAGATACAGACGATTGTTCATTATTTCGTATAACAATTCTTACGTTACACCATTATCTTGTTACTTAGAATATTAACGCTAAACCTAACGAGCTGTTAAATTGAACGAGATTTTAATTGATTTATCATTCAGTTTGTATTGTCAAATAAATTTCTTGAATAATTTCTCAAATATCCGTTGTCTTTAATAATAGCAAAAAGAAGAAATCGGGAATGAGTTTGATCCGTCCGCTGGGTTGAATGTTAAACATTTTCATTCGTCACTAACCGTACCGCGATGTTGCAATTATTTCCAAGCAATCCGAGAGTGTCGGTCACCAGTGACCACCGCGGCAAGCGAACGCGTTAACTGTTTCAACCGACGAAAATCCGCTTCTAAATGTCGACTCCTAAGCTTCCCTCTCTCGCGGAACGGTTTTTCAAGATTTTCGAGGGAAGTCGTTAAGCCGGGGACCCTCGAGCCGCCGGAGTTCTTCACTTGACGAAAATTCGCCGGTACCTCGAGCGGGGCTCGGCGAAAAAAGGCGAGAAAGGGCGGAAAAAAGTGAATTCCCGAGTCAACCCGTGCACGCGTGCCCGGGGATTGAGAAGTTCTCGTAAACTTTTCGAAACGTTCAACTGCTTTCAGGAACACTTACGCCGGATGAAGAAATATTTCAACTTTCCGCCGCGAGTTCCCGGCCCCCCGGCGACTCGGATAATTGGTCCGGCCGAATTCCCATTTCCTTCGTCGGAATTTCACACTGACTCGGAAATCTGTTTCGACTATCGAGAACCATGATAGCCAAGGATGTTGGCTACCAAAGATTACAGGTGGGGAGAGTTGAGAAGATCGGTGGATAATTTACACTTCGTTCGAGCATCATTTGTTTCACTCTGAGAACAGTGAATTCGGAGTTCGAATTTTCCGTTGAATATTGGTACACGGAAAGTTGAGAAGATCGGTGGATCATTTACACTTCGAGTATCTAACATTTTCACTCTAAAAACAGTGAATTCGGAGTTCGAATTTTCCGTTGAATATTGGCATTCGGAAAGATGAGAAGATCGGTGGATAATTAACACTTCGAGCATCTAACATTTTCACTCTGAGAACAGTGAATTCGGAGTTCGAATTTTCCGTTGAATATTGGTACACGGAAAGTTGAGAGATAAGCTTTGATTTCCTTAGATCGACGGAAATTCGCCAGCTAAGTTTCCTATTCAATCTTCTATTCACAATGCACAGCCAAGTACAGAATTCACTGTAGAAACCCGTGTATAATAGAATTACGTCCATAGAACAATTCCTTAATCGATAGTTAGCAAAGCGAGCATTCAGAATTAAATTCGCGTGTACGGTGAACTTGGAATACCTAAGTGCCTATAATACAGTCTAATGCGTTCCAAGAAAAAAATACTGTCCCAGGTCTCGTTAATCGATTCAATCGGAGAACACAGGTAAATTAGCTACCAGTATACACAGCGTTTCAAACTGAAGTTCCCTGTACGTAGCAAAATCCCCGCAAGCTTCCACTCGACAACGGCTGTCTGAATCCCTATCGAGTTCGATTCTCCGCTGCAGCGAGATTAAGGTCGAACATCGAGCAGACAGAAACGACAGCGAAACGATCGCTAGGTGCGAAGCTGTGTCTCCCGGAAACAAAAGCTGCGAAGAGCCCCGAGGTGCTCGCGCGCGCTCGGCGACACGCCAACGGGTGCACGACACGTGTACGCGCGTACACACGTGCAAAAAGCCGACATCGCCACAACACAGTTTGCCCACGTACGGTGTATACCTGGTGGATGATGTGCCTAAGGTCAAGGCGACGCGTTGCCGTACAATTTTCTAGTCGATAACCGTGCAACGATGACTGTACGACCGGTACGAGTATCCGACGGACTGCGGCCCGACGCGCCGGACACCGTTCCCGCGTCGCCCAACCCGCCGGACGAAAGACCGCCGCGGTCCCCGAGGACCCGCCGACTCGCTAACAATTGTCTTCCGGGCAGGGGACGCGGGCGTCGTCCAGTGTCTGCTGCGTCGTCGTGTGAGGGATCTCGAACGCGATCCGTCTGGCGCCCACCTGCACGGAGAACCCATTCATTGATCATCTAGGAACTGTC